GTGGTAGTGGTAGGAGTAGTAGTAGGAGTAGTAGTAGGAGTAGTAGTAGTAGTAGCAGTAGTAGTAGTAGTAGTAGTAGTAGTAGCAGTAGTAGTAGTAGTAGTAGTACTAGTAGATACATCGAAAAGCATTCGTAGATTGGGCGCTCCACTACTCACTGCCGAAACGAACCCCCAAGCTCGCCCACCATGTACGGCAGTTCCCACCAACTATTTGCAAACTCTTGGAGCTTTGAACAAGCAGGCGGTTGTGGGTGTGGTGTGACTCGCAGTTCTTAGAACTACAACGTCCAGGGCAGAGTCTAGGGTGTAGTGTTTGCATAGCGCCTTGACTGTGGCTTTTGTGTCGCACGGAGAAGGCCCGTGGCAGGGTCTGCGGACAAGGAGAGACGAATCGAAAAGCAGTGCTGGGCTTCTCAGGCTTGCGTGTAGACATGTGATGGTACTTGTAGAAAAAGGAAGGAGTTTTGACTCTCACCGTAAGGTAAGAGAAGCTTCACAATTCCCAGCACCAAGCCAGTTGGTGGCAGGGGTCCAAATTCGTCTCCATGATTATGACTCATGACCATTGGAGTTTGAATCACAAGGAAGCGGTTCATGATGTTTCGGCTTAGAACAATGGGGTTTTGAGATTTTCTTTTAGGACATGATGTGGCTTCAGATTCTTGGTTTACTAGGGTCCTGGATTTAACGATGCTTTTGGCCTGGAAGTTTCACTGAGGCATCGCGGCCATCATGGACCTTGGCAAGGAGGAACAATTTGTGGGGTGACCGCTTAGTGTTTAACCCTGACGCTAAACCATAAACCCCGACAACCTAAATTTTAGTGAAGACCGGAAGATCTGAGATGCCCTTTTTTGAATGATGGCTTTTGGCTTCTAGTGAGTCTAGCGGCTGGTGGTTTGGGGTTGAAGCAACCCTAACGGCTGACGCTTTCTATACAGAAATGAAGCAGTACATCCTCATGCTGAAATCCTGTGACAGCTTCGCCGAAAGGGAGGACAAAACGACATTGTTTTACAAGCCATAATGATCATACAGTGAACCATAAGCTTTAGAAGGAGTATGGCCTGATGTTGGACTCCGAGATCTCACTCTACGACCTACACGCGCAGGCCGGCAAAGGCTGTGTTTTGGCTGTTGCAAACAAAATCCGATTGTTACTGTTGATTCAACCGTAGCAGGTTTGGGAGCTCGCGCGTCTTTGCTGGGGAGGGGTCACAGCCACCGATCACAATTTCGGTAGGTCCAGTTCTAGGTTTCCGTCGTTTGGCTGCCCACCCGAAAAAGGCAGTAGCATCATGTACAACTACGTGCTACACTGGGACAGCCACTCTCCATAGCCATAGCCTGTTGCACCCGTTGCAGTGAAAGATCCTTCAAGTTTCGTGTTAAGGGGATTTAGGACTTGGTAGCTTGCTGACCTGTCAACTCCAATTATTGTTCGCCGAGGATAAGAAAGGATGCCAGCCGGCACAGGATCGCAAGCTAGACTTGACGCCAACCTCAGCTGTACACCCTACAGACATGCTTTCTACTTGTGCAGACGCAGCTGTCTGAGGTGCTTAGGGAGGGGGCTGTTCCCTAAGCCTGGGCCTTGGGGAAATTACCCCAAGGGCCCAAAGGGCCCAGGCGCTCCCTTAGGGATCAAGAAGGGCATCATGAGCGATGGAACCTTGAGTGCGAGGCTGGCTGGCCTGGGCTTGAGGAGTGATGAATCCTACTTTCCTAAGGTGGGATTCCTTCGAAAATGCGAGTTGTGTGTACGCAGTGCTGCAAAAGGGGAATACTCGTATGTGAATGAGTTCAAATTTAGACTCCAAGTGGGGTGCCCGTCAGAGAGGAGGTTGCAGAGACGGGTTTCTTCTCGTAGTCAAGAGGTGTTCCCGCAAAGGATCTTCGTCTAAATCAGCTCATCGTTTTGCAGGGTAAAGGTCGTCCAACTCTGATAGAGCCCAGTAAGTAGGATCAAGCGGATTGGGATGGGCATGGAACACAGGACTTGGCACGTTGCCTAGTCTTTCGGAACACATGAACCCTGCTCTTGCAAATCACTTTGCCTGGTCTTTCGGAACACTTGAACCCTGCTGTCCAAATCAAGTTGCCTAGTCTTTTGGTTGGAGCTAAACCCTGCTGTCTACATACAAGGTCCTGTTGAAGCCTTCTTCCCCGAAGCGGCAATCGACGAGCGTAACTGGGGAACCCCTGCCCAGCGGGTGATTTTGGACGTCTACGGGTGTGCAGCAGACAGATTGCTGGAGGTTCGAAAGGAGAATCGTATACAACTCTCCCAGACTAGGTTCCACGCGCCTTGGAGCGCAGAATCCTAGCGTTTCAGGATTGCACGTCATTGATGCCGCCAGACACTCTCCTAGAGTCCGAGACTAGATCTGCGAGACCCAGACTTCGTGGCCACGTTGCCCTTCTGGGACGACCTTGGCCCGGATGCACGGTCCTCAAAACAAGAAAATTCCCCGAGCGATGTACTGCAAGGAAAACGAGCTCCGATTCTGGTATTCCAGAGATGCGAGTTGAATCTCGAAATTCCAGCTTTTCGACCCTCAGCATCAACCGAGATTAAATATATACACAGCAGTTCCGAGAAGCTACACTGGCGGGCCTCGCAGGGCCCCTCTGGCCAACCGCCTGGGCGACAGCTCCTTAACTGCAGAGACTTCGTGTGTCAGCTTGTGTTAGTTGGTATAAGGGTAGTTAGGATGACCCAAGCATGCTCGTTTTCGGAGTGTCGTACTCTGTTGCTGATCCTACAAGGGCCCAGAATTTAGAGAAGCGCCATATGAATTCACTGTTCATGCCTCTTTCATACATAGTATAAGTATCTTAACCTTGCGTTGCACCAGCATCCCATGCGCTGCATGGCTTTCTTAACCTGGAGCCATCTACAATGGTTTGACTCGAAGCCCCTTGCCTGTCGTGGTACGTTGCTTCGCACCGGAAGCCTAGCCTTGCTCGCGGATGGTTGCCGGCCGACTTTTTGGTTTGATTTGGCTGTAGGGTGCGTGCGTATAACTCTTGAAGTGATGACGCCGGAGCGTGGAGTGTGTCGTTTTTAATTATCGGCCGGTGGCACGTAGTCAGTGGCACCAGCCTGGATGCTGTGCACGTTGGATCTTTCTTTCTGCCGCCCAGTTCAATGTGTAGGCCGGTCAAGCCCCCTTCCCCCGTGCGAAGGTCAGAAGAGCTCCCAGCCGAGGATCGGACTTTGTCTGCTTTGATGGCTTGCTTTGCATGCAGATAGGCCGACTCGGTGCAAACAGTCTAGAGCAACTGCTACTTTAAGGGTGTGGGGTGTATGACCCTGTTTGTGTGTGTGGCAGGCTTCAGAACCGACAAGCAGAAAGCAGCAGAGGCGTCAGAAGACTCGACAGAAGATGAAACGGTCGAATAGGTTTTTTTTTAAGAATCTCCTGTTCCCCAAGGTTGCTCTTCAAGACTCCACTTGGTTTAGTGTTTTACCCCGTGTTGAATCCACTGTACCAACCACGATTTGTTTAAAGATGGTGATGCTTTCAATATCACAGTCGCTGCTAGCATTACATGTCTGGTTCTCTGCTCATCCAGCCATTTCTGTGAGATGCAAGCACCTTTCGTGCTTTCGTTGAGATGCTAGTAAGTTGTTCAAGGCTTGCTGTTGCATTTCTGCTCATCGTGCAGTCCCAGCCCCACAAGAATCACAGGATGTGCGTGACTAGCAGCAGTCCTTGCAAAAGTGGCAGCACTGACAGCAGTGCTACCACAAGCATGAGGATGTGCAGATGTTGGTTGTGAGTGCCAACCCTGCCGTTGAGTGCTAGGATGAGCCTCACACCGCGCAACGGAGCACGACCAGCTTGGCAACTTGAAAGAATGCTCAGCCAGCGCACTGCTTCAGATTTCAAGAATAGGCTCAAATCCTGGTTTGAGATACAGCCGGGCTGAGATAGTCAGATAGCCATACATGCGTTGCCCGGAGTACGGGTTGTCGAGGTGGCTTTGGGTTTAGGGAACGGGATCTCCACAAACCCAAAACCCACATCCCTAAACCCCAAACGGTGAGTGTCCGGGTCGAAAGCGTGAGTCCAGGCAGATCTGCTAGGCTAAACCAGCCCATCAGCTCGTGCGACCAGACACGTTACCCTGTCATTGCTGCCCTGGTCAGCATTTCTGAAACGGGTCACGACAAAGACCAGTATAGCTGCTAACTCGTGACCGCCCGAGCTCTCAGCCGCCCCGAAGCTATCCTCCCTCAACCTTGCACAACATATCCGAAGTATCTGCGAGTTCTCACTGATGGTCCCTTGAACCTTCTAACCCCTAGTATGGAACAAGCTATGGTATGATCCCAAGACCTATTCTGACCATTACGAGGTTCACCCCCCGGGATGCAAACAACGCACTCCGGAGCATAGGCCCGTCCCAGGGTCTCGACAGGCTTCGGTCTCGGGGACTAGGGTTTTCGGGATCCTTCAGGCTTCAGTATATAAGACTTTTGGGTTTATAGGGGTTTGGTCGTTAGGGTCTAGGGGTTTAGGGGTTAAGGGTTTAGGGTTTTGTTCCAGCATGTCTCTTGTTTAGGATGGACCTTGATCCACGCAATATGCGGGCGATTCAAGACACGCACACTCGACCCTTCACGCCAACATGAGTTGAGTCCTGTCTTGGCCCTTGCACTCATGTAATGTGATTGCGCTGCCATGCAGCCGAACTGCTCCAGAGCCCACCATAAAAAAGGGCTTATAGGGGTTTCGGGTTTACAAGGTTTTGTACCTTATAACGGGTTAGAAGATTAGAAGGGTTTAGTTTTCGGTATCGAAGCCGCAGATGCCGAAGGCCCTGAATCCCAAGGAGTCCTAAGCAAAGGCGGTGGGTTGATCTTCTACTTGGAGGTTCATGGGTAGTTATAAGTGAGGTTATAAGTAGGGTAACTGCAACTATAACCCACCCTAAACCCTAAACCCCTAAACCCTAAACGCTAAACCCATTATAGCCCAAAGTAGGGGACTTATAAGTCCACTTATAACTACCCACGAACCTCCAAGTAAGCTTCAGGCCTGGAAGTGGCGAGCCCCAGGTTTGACACTTCTTCGGGGCCGTTCCGTTTCTATGAAGGGATCTATAAAGGACTTATTATAAGCCCTAAACCCTCAACCCTATAAAAGGGATCCATAAAGGGACCTATAAGCCCGACGCCCTGAACCCTATAAAGGGAGCTATAAAGGGACCTATAAGGAATCTGCAGTTTCAGAGTTTGGGGCTTCATTGGTCTCGGATCAAGCTGGTCGGGGCGAGGCCCAGAACCCTGATTACCCGAAATCCCTCGCAAAGCCATGTCCAGGTTCGGGAGGTGAAAGTCATTGCAACAGGTCGGGTTTAGGGTTCAGAGTTTCTTGTTTGAGGTTTAGGGTCTATGGTTCAGGGTTCATGGTTTATTGTTTGGGGTTTTTTGTTCTTACTGTTTAGGGTTTATGGCTTATTGTTTAGGGTTTATTGTTTAGGGCCTCAGTTTAGGTCGACTTAAGCTACAAAACATCCTCAATACCTACACCCAACAACTCCAAACCCTACCTTCGGAAACCCTAAAACTAAACCCACGAGCCCCAGACCCCTACGGAATCCTAAAAGCCCATGTAGACATATTCACCTTTCGGGGCTTATACAATCCACGTAAAATCTAAAAGCCAAAACTGTTTTGGGCCAGGGTAGTCATCTCCTTAGTTAAGCCATCTGAGCCCCATACAAAATCCGTCAAGCCCCAAATGTGGGTCTCTCACGGTGTCCAGGGAAGGAGTTGGTCTCGCGAAACTTCGGCGCACCGGCCACTTAGCTGCTCAATTTGAGGGTGCTCAGGGTTTTATTGTGATGTTGAATCTGTAAACGGTTTAGGGGCTTAGGCCTTTGGGGTTTTAGGGTCTACAAGGTCTAGGTTTGTAGGCTTTACGGCGTATACGGTCTTGGATTTCAATAATATCCTCTTCAGGACCCGACATGATCAAATCTCTTTTGAAACGTAAGTGCGTCTTGGGGGTAGTAGAAAGAAGCTCGTTTGAAGGAAGGGAGATGCCCGCAGCCAGCCACGGATCCTAACTCGGAGCGGCACGGTTTAGGTTTCAGGGGTTTCGGGCTTACATCAGACAGTCCAGCTTCAACAGCAGCTTAAGGCTCAGAAGATGTGAATCTTTCG